TCCCAGAGGCCATGGGAATTTATAAACACCATTTTTGTATAGGCGTAGATTTTGAGGTACCGTATTATTGGTAATGATTAGATTAGATGCTTTGAATTTTATAGCTTTTCTAAATACACTATTTACATTATTCTGTCCATATTTCTGAGATGAGGTATTATGTACACTATTTAAATTATTCGGACTATTGTCCTCATCTTTGTCGCCATATTTATCACAAAGTTTCGCCCTTTCAGTATCTGTCTATATTTCTGAGATGAGGTATTATGTACACTATTTACATTATTCGGACTATTGTCCTCATCTTTGTCGCCATATTTATTACAACGTTTCGGCCTTTCAGTATCTGTCTATATTTCTGAGATGAGGTATTATGTACACTATTTACATTATTCGGACTATTGTACTCATCCTTGTCGCCATATTTGTTACAACTTTTTAAAATACTTTTTATACTTTTTTATACGTCTACTTATGCAATAATTCCCATCGCTCAATATCTAATCGACCAAAACTAAGCAATCAAACTAATTAACGAAACCGTTCAAGAAAGCGACAAAGAGTTAAGATCATTGTGGCCGTGTTCGTATTTAATATTGTTAAGTTTTGGATTGTTCTTTTTATTATTAGGGCTTCCGTTATTTTTAATATTTTCTTTACATTTGGATGAGGTTATTATGTATGTGTTTTATACTAGTGTGTTTCGAATGGAGTCTGGTAAGTTTGTTTAAATGGGTTCTAATAGAGCTATGGTCAGATGGGTGTAACGTAAGGCGTCTGGATAGGCATGTCGTAGTGTGACCGATGTATATTAGAAAACACAAACATAATAATCTCATCCATTCGTAAAAAAGGTTAAAAATAATGGAAGCCCTAATAATAAAAAAGAAAAAAGCCAACACTTAACAATATTAAATACGAACAAGGCCACAATGTGCTAACCGTGTTCGGAAAAATAAAACATCTCTATAACACTAAAAACATACACATAACGCGCGCACTCAATTAAACTGAAAAATATAAAACCATCCTTGATAATGGCTAAAAGTATAGCCGAAAGCGCTCGGAATTATAGAACATTCGGACAGTTTCTACACACTCCGTGCCCAAAAAAGAAAGCACTTGTTCGAACACGAGAAAAATTAAATAAAAATCTTAATAGTAGTACCTTAATCGTAATACCTTGTTTGTCTTTTTTAATAAAACATGCATAAATGAAGGATTGCTGTCTAAATATACAATGTATGTATGCATGTATGTTGTGGGCACGTGACTGAGTGGTTAGAACGTTCGCTTTCTGACCATGTAACCTGGGTTCGAATCTCACCATGGTTGATTTGTCAGGAAGGTGACTTCTTGATGTCATCGCCTGGGGGAGGCGATCCCAGTGTGCGACACACTTGGAAAGTGCCTGAAAACCATACCATGGGTTGATTGAAGTAGATTGAACTCTTTGGGAGCCGACGATGTTTGTGTTAGCACGAAGTCACAAGTCATCTTGACCAAGGGTTTGGCGTGCTGACTACTGATCACGCTAGGTCTCAGAAATTGTAAATAATGCTAACGTAGTTGCAGGTGGGCTCTGTGGGTGTTAGAGAAGCCGTCTGGATAGGCCGTTTATAGACAGGAATCCCCGGACACGAGTGGCCAGCCATAATTATATGTTTACACATGCTAATAAAAATGACGGTATTATAGTGAAGAAAATGGCGACTTACCTACGACGGAAAATGTGGCAAAAAAGAAAATTACTTACCAAAAAAAAAAAAAAAAAAAGAAAATGGGCACGTATTCCGCATGACATGCTGAAGACGAAATATGTAAATTAAAAACAAGTCCGTCGCAGGAGTCGCTGTAAAAGTATTTTGATATGCAAAAATTGGGCGTCCTCTCCCAGACGATATAGTGTTTATATATTGAGCGTGTAATCAAATACAAGTATTTACTAAAAAATAACGTTTAAAATTATAAAAATCCTGTCGGATTAATAAAAAATCCATTCTAAAATTACCTTTGTTTAAGGTTCGATACAAAACAGTACATATGAAAAACTTCGTGAGATGCTATGACAGGAGAAAGTTCGCTTGAAAGAAAATTCGCCAGGAAATTTGGCCATGATTGATTCGACCGCTCCCTGTGGCCAACTCGTGGGCACGTTGGTTAAGGCGAACTGAATTTAATGGCAACTTTCTTTACCCTGAGTGACGCTGGTTCAATTCCTGCTAAAGAGCCAATTTTTTTTTTGATAAAATTTTCACGCCGGTAGCTGAAAATAAATAAATATACAGTTTAATAAATTAAAAAATCCGGGACGAAGGTTAAAATTTTGACAAGATTTTTATATATATATATATATATATATATATATATATATATATATATATATATATATATATATAGATAGATAGATAGATAGATAGATAGACTCGTTTTGAAAAACCCTCGAATTTTGATTTGCTAATCAAATCAATCTCGAGGGAAAAAAAAGGTTTTAAAAAAAGAAAGAGCTACAAACATGAACTTCTGCCGACATAAAAATCGCACAGATGCAGGTCTGAAGCCCAAAGAAAAAACCCCGATACGAGTAACAACTGACTAACAAAAGAGCTCAATACAACCGTAGAGCAGACCTAGATACACCTAGTGAGCCAGACAAACCTATTTAGGTTTCACCTAAACGGATCGTCAGGGAAAGTTTGGCCAAACTTTCCTGACGATCCGTTTAGGTGAAACCTCGGTAGGTCTGGCTCACTAGGTGTATCTATATATATATATATATATATATATATATATATATATATATATATATATATATATATATATATATATGTCTTTTATTGTTGCGGACTGATTTCTTATCGGCATTATTCCCTGACCAATTTCTCACTGTGAAACTTTAGTTTTATTTTGTGTGACTTCTTTCCCATTAAAGTCACACAATTTTCATGTTGTTTTGTCATGTGAGCTACTAACGTTGTTCATTTCTTTTCTTTCATCAACCTTATCGCTTATTTAATATATATATATATATATATATATATATACATATTCAATATGTATATATATATATATATATATATATATATATATATTGAAGAAGATTTTCTTTTGACGCACATATTTGTGATTAATTCTTTTAGCAAAGTTTTCTCTCCTACTGTAATTATTTCTTTTTACAATGTTTTTCTCATCACATTTCTCTCATTCTTTTAGTCCAGTGACAATTCTTCATTTGATATGAATTCTGGTTTAATCATATTTTCAAGTGGTAAAATCCCATGAGAGTTGTGTAAAATAATCGATATGATAAAATTCATATAAGCACCGTTATCTATACCAAGTCTAGTCAGTTTGTACTTCACCGAGGTCCGTTGGTCCGTTGGCATGACGCTTGAGTTGTATCGTAACTGTCTGGGGTCGATTCTAGGTAGTGGATGAGCACTGCTGATGAGTCCCAAATAGGATAAGACAGCCGCTCAGTGCTCTCTGAATTCTATTGAGGATTCTTATAGACTCGATGAATTATATATATATATATATATATATATATATATATATATATATATATATATATATATATATATTTACACAGAGGGTGTAATGGGTAAATTGTCGCCCTTTTATATTTTTAATTTCGCACATGTGCGTTGTTTGTTTTTGATTTTGTCGACTGCACAGTATAATAGGGTCAGTTGGCCACCGTCTATGAGAAAAAGAGCACCATGACGCAATTCACTACATCAAAAGTTTGGAAACGCCATGTTGTACTGCTTGGCATTCGCACCGGAAGCTCCAATACGAACATTTCATTGTCTGTGTTCCCAAAATATTACCGAGAGTGATGAAAATCAAATATCCAGTCAACATCATGGTGTTTGAAGTGATCACTAATGATGGCGATATTATGCCTTCATTCATCTTCCCACAGGGCCTCAGACTGAACACGGAGGCTTATATCAAGTGCCTTGAAGAGGTAGTGCTTCTGGAGCACCCTATGTCTGGCAACAGGACTCTGCACTATGTGACACAAGCAGAAGAACCCATTCATAGCTGCGACCACATCGCCCCTTATATTCCAAAATCGTCTAAAGGCCGTCGTTCAAGCCAATGGTGATTTTCTGGAGTACATTTCCGCTTATATTTCAAGATATATTTGTGTAATTTTCGTAAATATATTTGTTATTTTCATTTTTGCGTAAAAAAACAATTTTTTAAACGACAATTACTACATTTCAAAGTAACTCAAAGTAACTGAAAAATTTGCAACGAATACCAAAAATTTGTTGTTGTAGTAATCGAGGCTAAAGGACGATATTTTGACAAGAGCAAACATAAAATGCTTTTTCTTCTTTTTCTCATAATACAAATTCTAATAAGAAATCATGTCTCCCCCACTTTTTTTTTAACCATATTTAATAATTTTCTTTTATTTAAAGTACAAAGTCATGATATTTTCAACAATTACTAGGCGCTACCTTTGTGCTTTTCAACTGTAGTGTTAATATATATATATATATATATATATATATATATATATATATATATATATAAGATAAGATAAAAGAACAAACAGGAAATATTTATCAATCTAACATGTTTCACTTATATATATATATATATATATATATATATATATATATATATATATAAAATTTGTGTAGTTAGGCAGAAATCCTTGTTTCATGCACATTTCATTGAATAAGACAGACCAGGTGCTTCAGTTTTTTATACAATTTCTCATGAGATCTAATAATTTTTTTTCCAGATGATAAATTATATAAAAACCGTCCGAATGTTCTTTTTTTCCGAGCGCTTTCGGCTATACATTTAGCCATTTTCAAGGATGAAATATGTAAACTATTAAATAAGAAATAGTTTGTTGCATGTATATATTTACATAATGAATTCATTTTTCAAGGTACGGTTAAGATATTCTTTTTGTTTTTATTAATAAGACTTGTTTTCTAAACACATTCAGAACATTGTGGCCGTGTTCATAGTTGATGTTACTGAATGCTGAATCTGTCTTTCTCTCTCTCTTTATGTGTCTGTCTGACAGTCTCAATTTGTCCACATCTATCTATCTATCTATCTATCTATCTATCTATTCAGTTTATATATAAAACTCTTCCATGAAAAATTTATTCCGGTCGAGCACTCTTGGGAGAAAGCACGAATTTATAAACAATGACTACAAGTGGTAATACTGCAAAGCTCTTCCATGAATTGAGCCCACTCTGTCATTGGCGTGTTTATTCGAAGAATAAATGTGTAAAAATTAGCCTTCTTCTCAACCGGGCGCTGATAGCTGAGGGGTAAAATCTCCGACTGATGCCAAATCAGTTGAGTTTCGATCTCGGCTTGAGGCAATTGGATGTGTAGCCACACTGATGAGATCTGATACAGCGCAACAGGCTGTTTATGGATGACAATATATATATATATATATATATATATTCAACATCATCACTTGATAAGACACCAGAGGTGTTGAAACAAAATGGCTATTTTTGTAGTGATTTTATAACATATTTATGTTATAATTTTCAAATAAATAATTGTATATATATATATATTCAGTTGATTTAGACAGAAAATGTTATTTAAGGCACATATTAAGACAATAGATTTTTTGTGTCGATTAATTTTACCGCTTGTATATTCAGGACGGAAGACGAAATAAAATACTGTTTAAAATAAACTCTAATATGAGTAATCACTAAAAATAAAATTTAAAGTAATAAAATGCATATATATTTTATATATACGTGTGTCTGTATATGTATGTATGTATTTACGTATGTTGATATTCACCTGTTTGTGCCTGCACACGCACGTGCGCTTGAATGCGAGCTTGCAGGAATTACGCAGCTGCTAAAACGCAATTCCAAAGTGACACGAGACACGAGTGTATTGTTCTGCAATGTATTTCTGTCAAATTCATTTTCAATCTGATGTTACAAGAAGATAAGAAGAAACGCCAAAATCAGTCAAGTAGAAATCTTGTTGAATGAGGCCAATGAAGAGATAAAGGAAAGTTTGTCGAATCAGATTTGCCACTCTGGGGTGGGGCCTCATGTGATAAGAGTTTTAACCTCGAGATTAGCAAGTACCCCCACCCCACTAAATCCTCCACCCCACTAAACAAACTCTAAACAAACCTTTTTTTCATTTGATTCATGACTTTCGTCAATATTGACGCTGCCATATTATCACTTTGTCGACAAAAAATAACAGGCGATAGACAAAATAAAAAGCTTTTACAGATTAATATTTTGAATTGAAATATATATATATATATATATATATATATATATATATATATATATGTAAAGAAGAGGGAAAACTTATCTTAGCCGACACAAAACTGTTCTTGGTTTTACAAAATTTTAGAGTTTCCGAACGCTCATAAATATTCATCAGATTTACTGAAAAGGGATGGAGGACACGAAGTGCCACAATTCAATGCCTAATAAACGAAAGTAAGTGATGTTTTCAAAATTTTCTGTTCTTAATGCAAATTAGTATTTAACTTATTTTAGTTTGGGAATAGTGTGTTATATATTTTGAACAATATGAGGTTATGAATTTCACCGTTTTCACTTTACATTTATTCATAAGATTTTATTTACTTTTCAAATTTTCGAATAAGTCGGTTGAGTATTTTGCTCAAAGTTTGGATAAATTGTGTCCGAATTTCCCATTGTGTTATTTTTGTTCAAGTAATTTCGTCTAGTTCATTCATTATCCAGAACAATGTGGTGCCCTTGCGTTACTGTTTTTTAATCGAGAGCACCTCAAGCAAGGCAGTAATGCGCACTAAAACACAAGGGCTTACAGGATGTGGAAGAATTAGGAGCAGAAACATTAATGGTGAGCAGAAAGAGAAGAGAATAATCAGGTGGACCGTAGACAGCATTTGCCATTGAATTTCATATTTTGCAGATTAAAGTTGTCTGAAAAGCATGGAGCCGGAAGAGAGTTCCACAAGCGAGAAGTGCGAGAGAAGAAACTGTTAGGATAGAACTTACGGTTATATCTAGCTAGCTCGACTTTAAATTGAGTGTGACGTAGTCCCCTGGTCGCAGCGCCAACTGTGACGTTATATCCTGATCTACCACGGCACCAGTTGTGACGTCCCCAAACAGCACCAATTGTGACGTCCTCGCCGCGGCGCCAGCTGTTCGCTCCTCGCTGCTCCGTTCGGGTGTCGCTGCTCCAAACGTGACGTCCGCCTGTCGCGTCAGTCGTGTTGTCTCGTCCTGTGACGACCAACTGGCTTGGTATCGGTCGCAGCACCCAAATGTGACGTTCTAACCTTTTGGTGATTCGGGGTGGGAATCTGGTTAGATTTGATATCAGCCTCGTCGTTCCCAATTCGCTTCCAACGCCTGGTTACCAAAGGTAACTGCATTGATCTCCAGTCTGCCTACCCACGTTGTGAATTGATCTTAGGCAGACGAGATCAATCAGTAGTCGGGGCCGTAATGCAAACTGAGT